TACTACTACTACTACTACATCTACATCTACAGCTACGGCTGCCTCTTCTACTCCTGCTGCGCTTCTGCTACTCCAGCTGCTACAGCTACTACGGACTGCGGTAGCCTACGTCGCCTTCCAAGGTTGCGGGAATCCTAGCGGATGCCATCGGCTGCTGCACGCTGAGTATTGTCGTGTGGAATCTGAAGACGCTGTCTTGAAAGCCACCTGCCGGCTGAGGCAGCACGTATGAAGAAATTGTGGCGCAGATTGTTACAAAGCCTGGCTTCGCGCGGGTAAAGGAGGACCTGGGGGAGAAGATGGATCTCACCTACTGGGTGTGTGTGCCGTTGCTGCACATGCAGTGGCTGGGCTTGTTGGAGTTGCAGTGCAACTAAGGCCTTCTCTGTGAATCAGCATGCCAGCATTTGTGGAGGCTTCGGAAGAGAGCCTCCACCATACACCTTCGAGTGGAAAGCGTGGCATGCGAAGACCTGTGACTCCGTCACTGGGGAGCCGTTCACACCTTGCACGTGCAAGATGGAGAAGATCTTCTGCCACGAGGACAATGAGGATCCAAGGTGTGAGCTCAACAAGTTTGATGCTGCTCGGACGCGCCTGGGTAGCCCAGTGTCATGTGAGCGGGTTGTCGCATCAGCATCAACTGAGGACATGATGCATCATATCTACGTGGAGGAAAGAGCATCTCAGTCATGTTCATGGCATCAGAGGCTTTCTCTCAGCTGGTTTCTGCGGGTATGGGCAAACGTGTGAGGTCGCAGGCTTCGGCCAGTTGATCGTCGTAGACAATCACTTTGAGGTACCGCGCTCAGATTCTTCATGCAGCAGTACTGCAGCCCAACGAGATTTTTTCTTCCTAGATCCAGATGTGGGTTTGAAGACATTCCATTCAAGTGAGGTGCTGTACAGGGCATGGTGCGTGGCGGAGATTGTGGAAGCCAACGTGCTGCAGATTCCCTCACGAATAGAGGTGCCCTCGCAAGAAGCAGTTGACCGCAATTACGACAGACTTGCTCTATTGGACGTTCGTGATTGCTCTGCTTCATCGCCACGTGACAAAGCCATGATTTTGTCCAAGATCGCCGACGTTGCTGCGTTCAATGAACGATACTTGGACTTTCCACAGGCTTTATGTTTGGCATTGCTATTGCTATTACTTTGTTGGGAAGGTAAGTTGGGTGGGACTCAGCCACAAAGGATTGCTGGACCTCGTTTTCAGCAGTGAGACGGGGCTGTTTTCAAAGTGGGTTGATGGTCAAGAACGTTCACGACAAGTCGGGAGGATCCTGAGGCGATGTTCACTTGGGCTGCATGACGAAGTTCAGCCGCCTGTCCGTTCTTACGGCTGCTGTCCGGTCGGCCCAGTGGTGGTGGGTGCTCTTCGACGTCACCATGACTCCGACTCTGACGATGCGACCTCTGAGGAGGAGTCGGCAACCGACACAGCTTCAGTTTAGTAGAGCACAACATTCCATATCAGTTCTTCTTAATTCTGCACATGCACAAGGACATGGCAGGATGCCAATTCGTTTCTAAAGGCTTCCGCCTCCGCAGGAGAGCCTTGAACGCTTTAGTACCGATCATTGCGGCAGGCATGAGGTGACACAAGCCTTCAAGCCTTCAAGCATCTCCAAACCATTCAAGCCGACATCTCCAAGTCATCGCCCTGCTGCTGGGTCATCGTTGACTCTGCAGATGTGTTTTTGTTTATCCAGCTGGTCTTGATGCTCACTCTGAGGGCATCCCAGATCTGGGTGTCGCTCTGTACAGCATCTACTCGAGCTACTTTCCTAGTAGAGCAGCCAGATTTCCATTTCAGGAGGGCCAAAACTTGCTAAAAGACTTCTGGCTTGATGAGACCATGATGACCTGCCTCCTGGCGCATCTTGAAATGAACAGGAGCAAGTCCAGGTTGCTGCATGCTTGCAGTGCCAGCAGATGCACTGATCAGCAGCACTGATTGCGTTTCAGGGTCCTTGTGCCGTAACAACGACCCACGCAAAGCGAGCGGGCCCACCTGCAATATGGAAAACAGAGCCTTGCAGCTTGGCTTGATTAGTTGATGGCCAACGAGTTTTCATTGCAGTTCCAATGTTCTACATTCGACAAAAGGCAGCGGCACTGAGAGGCCATTCATCCCTAAGCTGCCTTTGGAGTCCTGTGCGATCAGCTCTGCCAGAGCAGTGTGTCCAGTCACTAATGCGAGTTGTGCGCGGTACAGTTTTCAGATAGATCATCTTGTGCGTCCAAACGAGACACAGCAGCGCTCAAGTTACGTCACGGGTTGTAACATCAACAGGCCTGTAACTCGTTGGAAATCAACGATTTACTAATTTTCCACAAAAACGAAATGAAAACACAGCGAAAAAACAGTTCCAAAAAACAAACAAAACAAAAACAATGCAGCAAGGAAGTGGCTTTTGACCCAAATCTGCTTCTATCAAAAATAGAAATCCGAAATAGTTCTATTCTTGCAACTGTTGTGGGTGCTGGCTCACCCGTCGGGCTTCTATAAGAGTAGACGGCCGTCCTGAGCATCGCTGAATCTTCAGGACATGTCTCCGGGGAAAGCTACGGCTCATGCCTCTGATGTGCAAGTGGTGCATACATGCATCGGGACCATCAACCCTAAACTTTCGGCTCTTAGTGTGAGCGGCAAAACCTTCAACTCTACACCATCGCGTGCAGAAGTGGGTCCTTCCTTCCCATGCATGAGAAGACATTCCTTGCAGCCTGCGTCGGGGCCTCATCGTACCCTGCAGACTACTGCGTCCCTGGAGCTGGGAGTGCCGAGGCTCTTCATCATGGCTACCCGACTGCGTCTGAAAGAGGACACTCCTCTCGATTCTATCATGTCTGGAGCATCCTCTGTTAGCCCGAGACTCGGCAGTCTGGGATCGCTGTGTGGGAGCCTCTGCAGCACTTGATGTGTCGGCAAAGCTCGTCCCGGCAGACGCAGGAGGAGGCTGGGAGGAAGTTTGCTCGAGCTGACTGCAATGAAACGTGGCTTGAATTGACAAAGGTCGAAGCACATGCGCAGCATGATGGCTTACTGCGAGGGCCCCGACTGCTGTCCAGCCTGCCTCATGCTGGTTCAACGCGGTGCAGCTTCAGATCTGTCTGCTGCCTTCCGCTTGCCTGCCATCACAGCTGCCTCCTCATGGCCACTGAGGGAAACGTCGAGATCACTCTTACTGATCTTGCTGGGAGGTGCTTCGTCAGCCGCATCCTGAATTTGCAGTTATTCAGGTGTTGCCTTTCGGGCTGCAGGTGCTGAATTCCTTCATTTCGTTGCAGATGGCGAAGCCACGCAGAGAACCGAGGCTTCGCAACAGCTGTGAAGGTTTGTTCGGGACTGTTTTTTTACTATAGCGCGCGCTTCGATATCAGAGTTTGTTCCTTTCTTCACATGTAGCACGGGGCAAGGAAACCGATTCATGCCTACGCATCCGCGTCCTCAGGCTAGGTAGCTTGGAAAGCACTTCGGGCTGACCGAAGTCTGTGGGCCAACTTGTTGGAAGACCGAGATGAAGCGGATTCCAGAGCCTGCTGATGCACGAAACGCCAGAAATTGTCCACACATACTCGCCTCTGGCAACTAGTTGGCCGAAATCTGCCGTTTCCCCGCCAGTTGTCAGGGAATATGTTGTGGGAGTTTTGGGCTTACCAGTCAGGTTACCCCGCTTGTCAGCATCCACTTCAGCTTTGTACTGTGTATCTTTCAAGTTTTTGGTGGACGCATCGGTCAGCGCCTGCTGCTGCTCGTCGAGCTGTCTGCCGCGATGATGCCTCTCCGGAGCCTCGATGATGGGATTCTGGAGGTTCTCGCCTCGGGCCTCTTCGTCCTGCAGTCGTCGCCTTGCTGCCTCAATCTCAGCACACAAGGCCACCGCAGACGCAGTTGCCATCGCGAGGCCATGCACGGCTGGAAGGGAAGATTTCGGAGGCCAGCATGCCACGCAGAATGTTGTTGTCCCACCCATCTCCCGATTGCAGAAGCTCTGGCAGCAAATGAGACACAAACTTCCGGAAGTATCTGTTGCAGGGACCTCCCACAACTCACCACAACCCTCCCGTAGACAGTTGCAACGCCCAAACCATAGTCAAGTAAGGCTATATCTTGCTTAGTGTTCTCGGGAATGTGGACTTCCCGGGGTATCATATCATTCCTCATGTAGCGCAGGTTCAGGCGCCGGCAACTCAGCGGTATGCACATACAATGCCGGCACTTAGTAAAAAAAGAGGAGGGAGAAAGAGTGAAAGGCACAGGGAGAGAGAGAGAGAGAGAGAGAGACTCGCTCCTCACTCCCCTTTCCCGATTAAAGCAATCGGTTGGGCATTTTTTGCCCGGTGGCTTTGACCGGCCCCTATGCCCGGGCGAGGGGCAGAGAGAGAGAGAGAGAGAACGAGTGAAAGAAAGAAAGACAGAAAGAGAGGGAGAGAGAAAGAGAGACAACAAAGCAGAAGGTAAAGGGAGGAAAGAAAGCCAGGCTTAGAGCACAAGAGCGAAACACAAATAAATCACAAGAAGGTCGGAGTCGCATCGTAGTTGCTTGCCGCCAGTGATGAAGATTAATAGATCAGAGCGCTTCCGAAGGCTTCGGTCAGCTGTGGGCCGCACGTCATTGACGAAATAAGCCTAGCCTTAGTTTGGATTCTGTGAAAACGCAATGAATCAAAGAGGAAGCCTGTCAACAGATGTCAGGCGCGGCACCTCGTAGGGCGACGTTTCCGAGGACAGCCTCGGGGTGGCAGGCGCGATGGCCAGGAGTAGAAAGACTTCCAAGCCTCACGAAACATCCCGTCAACGGGCGGCACTGGTGTTGAAAGCTGGCCGCATAGATCACCAGACTGTCAGGGGCGTGGGTTCGGCATGCTCCTTGTGAAATGATAAGTAGCGTTCGCTGCCGTTCGTTATTCTTTTGCTTGAATCGGATGCAGGTCCCAGGGCAGATTCATATTATATCGTAAGTGACTGTAGTGACTACAGTGCCAAGAAGAAACGCACATGGTCGGTCTTCGCGCAGCCCTTATGCTGCAAGCTAACTTTGGTAGTTAATGACTATCTTACGGGTATAGAGGGTTGGAAATACATAAGGTTCAAGATGGGCTTTGCTGGGCGAGCTGCCCCAAACGATTTCAAGCGCCGAGAAACGGGGATTGGGATTCAACGGCAAACCCATTATTCCCTTGGTTCCCGAAGCCCTCAACCCTAGAGCCTGGACGCAAGAATGTCTTCGGTCACAGCTGCCACAAGCCCATGAAACCCACCCCCGACGTAGACCAATGTTATTAAGCTTTACTAGCACGGGCCAAGCTGACGACAAACCTCACAAATGACAAAAACCCTCGGCGGGCAATTACCCCCGACCGCCTGAACATCGCTGCGGACGCACATTTTCACTCCGCCCGAACAAGCGGGGCTTGCATCTGAGAGCAATCCATCCCGTGACTCACCTCCTGCACGGACGTGATCTCATCAGGGTCGAAGTTCACCAAGCACACCTCGCCAGAGTCGAGGCCCGACGAGCTCATTGCACTGCTGGAGGATCGAGGATGTCCGGCACAGAGCTGGAGATTCAAGGTGGCAACATCACTATTCACTATTGAAGCAGCCTAAAACTGGCTGCTCGAATGCTTCGATCCCACCAGCGCGTTGCTCGCTCCAGGTTGACAAGCAACTCATGAGCAAAAGCATAAGTGTCTCTTGGGCAACTATCTGATGCTATCTGCTGCCCAGAGGAGCTTGGCAACGTCGTTGGTCTTGTCAGGATTTGTCAGGCTTGTCATGTAGATGTGTTCCGGTCGCGTTGATCCAGGGGCCTGCGGGTACTTTGGCAGCGTCTTTGGTCTTGTCCGGCTTGTTATGTCGATGTGTTCCGGTCGCGTTGATCCAGGGGCCTGCGGGTGCTTTGGCAACGTCTTTGGTCTTGTCAGGCTTGTCATGTAGATGTGTTCCGGTCGCGTTGATCCAGGGGCCTGCGGGTACTTTGGCAACGTCTTTGGTCATGTGAGGCTTGTCATGTCGATGTGTTCCGGTCGCGTTGATCCAGGGGCCTGCGGGTACTTTGGCAACGTCTTTGGTCTTGTGAGGCCTGTCATGTCGATGTGTTCCGGTCGCGTTGATCCAGGGGCCTGCGGGTACTTTGGCAGCGTCTTTGGTCTTGTCAGGCTTGTCATGTAGATGTGTTCCGGCCGCGTTGATCCAGGGGCCTGTGGGTACTTTGGCAACGAGTCTTTGGTCTTGTCAGGCTTGTCATGTCGATGTGTTCGGTTGCTCCGAAATTTTTATGTTTGCGGTTGTCGGCAGAATGCAGGGATGACGAGTGCAAGCCCAACACCCGAAAGCCAAGACCGCTTGACATAAAAATGACACTGCGAAACCTGGACAGGAGGATGGGTGGCACAGCCAAAACCACAATTACTACTTGCTAGGACGCTAGGAGCCTGCCGAGTC